TGCGGGAGGCTCTAAACTCGTGAGTAGCAAGAAGGAATTCTTCTGACTTCCGGCACAGGTCCGATGCTCAAAGTTTTGTCGATCCTCTCCTGGTTGAGCAGGCCAGACGGAGAGTCCTGGAGTCTAAGGACCCGATGGGATCAAGTCGGGACACGGGACCGGAACGAGCTCTCCGATTCGGAGGCATCTGGACCAAACTCCAACATGGAGTGAGTCAACTAGCAGCGGAACTGGGCTGATTGACTGCAGAAGGCATTGCAGAGCCCACTGCCTCATGTGCAATTCCTCTTGGCGCTATCATCTCTGGAGCCCAAGCAAACCTCGTCTGGGCAGCCCGGCTCATTCCCTTGGGCACAGTCAGCCGGGAATTCTCGGACGGCACTCGCAGATATCCCAGTCTCTGAAAATATCGCCCAAACTTCGACAGCGGCGGGAATCAGCCAACTGACGAGTGGTCAAGCGGGATTGAATGGCGATGATCGCAAAGGTAAAGGCAAAAGCAAGGCGGATATCCTCAATTCGTGGCGAGCGTCTCAAGGTAAGCGAACCTTGACGCATTTTTTTCTGATCCTTCCGAGCCCGTCCAGCATTCTCTGAGCAATTGCTACTCCGTGACATTCTTTACCTCTTGCAAGGTATTGATGGACAATTCATCCGGTTCGCAGTCCGGCCGCCGGAGGAACAGAATCCTTACAAGTCTGCCAAAGCCAAGGCAGCAGAAGGGGCCGCTTTCGCACTGGGCAAAGATGGTGAAGCAGGGACCAAGAGCGAAGACGGTGAAGTAGTCGGGATCGACATCAACGTAGATGAGGCTGCCGTGAGTGCTCAAAGAGCGGTCGGTCCGCTGTAGAGACCTGATGTTGTCGTCTTCAGAACGGGAATATCTCCAAACCCACCAGGCTGCTCCTCATGCAAATTGCTGAGATGGGGATGCTCTACCGACAAATCACGAATTATCTGGCGGTAAAGCAGACAGGGGGCTCGTCAAGAGGCATGATAGAGCAGGTATGTCGAAGGAGGCAGAAACACTGCGTTTTCACACTGACTTTGTGTAGAGCCTGTGTCATTTCTTACACCATGAGCTTTCAGATTATCACCGATTGCTCGCTGTGCTGGAGACACAAATGAATCTCAATCTCCAGGAGGCGAGCACTGGCCCTTCAAGTGATGATACCAACGAGAACGGTCGAGGTTTGACCCTCCTGCGAATGGGATTGTGGACAGAGGAGATGAAGCTCAAGATGCGATATCTGGCGGCGGTAGTCAGCGATGCAAAAGGTATGACCACGGAGGCTCATCGGAATCATCGCTAA